GAAGGTTAGGAGTGTAGTGGCCCCAGTTGTTTCTGCAGCATGAGACGGGAGACGGAAGGTTAGGAGTGTAGTGGCCCCAGTTGTTTCTGCAGCATGAGGCGGGAGACGGAAGGTTAGGAGTGTAGAGGCCCGAGTTGCTTCTGAAGCATGAGACGGGAGACGGAAGGTTAGGAGTGTAGAGGCCCATGTTTTTTCTGAAGCATGAGACAGGAGACGGAAGGTTCGGAGTGTAGAGGCCCATGTTGTTTCTGAAGCATGAGACGGGAGACGGAAGGTTCGGAGTGTAGAGGTCCCAGTTATTTCTGAAGCATGAGACGGGACACGGAAGGTTCGGAGTGTAGAGGCCCCAGTTGTTTCTGAAGCATGAGACGGGAGACGGAAGGTTCGGAGTGTAGAGGCCCCAATTCCTTCTGAATTATGAGACGAGAGACGGAAGGTTCGGAGTGTACAGGCGTCGCAGACGGTGTTTGCGGTGAACGTAATGGTTAAGAGTGGTATTTATAAGGGAACCATACCAGGCAATTTAACCGATAATCGATACCATAATAAAGTTTTGTGCAAGTGCTGTTAAGACGGCATGGCGGTGGCACTATTTCCCAGCAGGATAACGCACAAGCAGACACCAGTCGCGTCACAAGAACTGCAACATAATATAACCCTGTAACAAGTATTTCAATTCTAAACTAGATTTAAAATCATGATAATTACAATATTATCTGTTCCAGTGGAATATGGAGAACATAACAACAGTCTGGAATAGATATTATTATGTTTACTTACTCTGCGTAAGTAATGTACTACCCTTAGAATTAAGCTGAACAGTTTTAAAGATATATTCTGTTTAGATATACTAGAGATTTCTTCAAGATGACTCGATTTCATATTTATTCTGAAATATATATCCTCATAAAAAGTAATCACTTAATTACTTAATCAAAGTGTTGTCAAATTTTCTCACACCAACAGATGCAGACCAATAAATGTATTATGACCATTCCACAAACAACAATGAATTCTTGGAATATGGACAGATGGAAACTATGCATTGTTCAACAAAGTATCAGATATATGTAACAAAACTGACTGCAGAGGATGACTATAAATGATTTGAATATGAACATGAATCTCAACAAATGCAGCTCCCACAATGTTCTTATTTAATCTTGAGTTTCGTTTCTCAGAGGTTTTGTACATGATTGACAATTCTTATTTGTTTTTTCTACTTTACAAAGATAGGGGTACCTCTATTCTGCAACAATTCGCTTCGCCTCTATTTCAGCATAATTCAGAACAGTTTTTTTTTATGTCAATTTGTTAACAATTATCCCTAACAATATCAGAGCAATGATATATCATATAAAATATGTGATTATTTCTATCAACTTGTTATTATCATTTATCATATGGAAATCGTTTATTCATATATGTTTTCGATGTAATCGGCACACTAGGTATTGCCTAGTAAGCAGCAAACGATACATGGATCATCATTTGGTATCGTACGAAACGGTTATCTACAGGGGACTATTTACCAATAAAACACATTTAAATCATTCATATAAAGAAACAATCATGGGACCAGTCCATATCTAAAAAATCTTAAAGATAATAATTCATCCATCACTTCAAGTCCTATCAAAGGTTTTACATATGTTACAGAGGATGAAAATCTACGTTATCAAGACTTTGTGCATTGGGTGTTAAATTGAGAGTAGTTGGTTCATAGTAGACGTTTTTGGAAAACATTTGTTTATCCCTAAATCAAGTGGTAATAAAAACAGGTCTGTAATTAGATTTGCGATTAGCTGAGCTTTATGGTCGCCAAAGGGATCTCATCGAGAAATATTTTATTTCTTTGTGCGCTATAAATCTGGACGTACATAATGCTCGTTAGCTTGTCTGTAGGTGTATACCTTGTTTATTATTTGAGAACGTCACATTACCTCCTCGAGGTAGAAGAAGTTTACTCTTCTGGAACACCGGGTCTTATTCTCATTGTACTTTTTCAGCAGTCTCTTTCTTTAAATCTTTCTTTTGTTCATATTTGCTCTAGTCTGATGACTAAAATTTAAGAATTTGAGTTTCGATTATAATTATCTTAATATGATGGTATTTTCTTGATGTTCTTTAGCAGTTTATTAATGTTAGCGGTGTCCACCGAAGGAGATTTACTCCCTTTGAAAGGATTAAAACGTTTCGTTAGGTAGAAGTTATGTTGTTATTTCCTCTGTTATAAATATACTTTCAAGAAAATATAATAGGTATTCTTAGTATCATGATTAGTTTCTACTTGGTGTTTATGACTCACAATATCCTAAAACTTCAGTAAAATAGAAAATCTATCAGAACACTAAGACTTCCTCTGTTATCCTATTAGATAATTATTTTCCATCTCGTCTTGATACATGGTTGTTAGAGATAAACTATCATTGTCGCAACGTTTTCCTCGCTGTAGATGAGTCATAATTCGCTTTATAAATAGAATTATTTTCGAACAGGGCAGATTATATACCAAAAACACAACCAAATCTACAAAATCATCCGGACCTTTTAACACTGTTCCAACTCACCGTCCATTATAATGGATGCAGTTGTCATTATCGTGCAATTAAGCTATAAGCCGAAAAATTGAACCGGCATGATTTTCTGAAGCCCGTGACTCGTTAGTGTATTCATGACAAAGATATGTCGTTGCAAGTCAACATTCTAATGACATTGTTTACAGCGGACACGTATGTATTTGCTGACATTGATGTCAAAATTCGTATTTATCCACAGGTTTCTTTTTGGGGAGGGGTTGGAGACATTTGTAAGAGAGCGAGATCGTTACCATTTAAAATGAGATGAACGATCGAATATACTGTGAATTTTCTACAAAAACTCTCACTGTACCCATTGCATGAAGTTCTCAACCAACATCGGGTCAGTTTTTGAGAAAAGTTATCTTACAAGCAGTTTGTATAAGATGATTGTGTATTCCATTAATAGTAAAACTATGTTTAAATAAAAACAAACAAAATCGATTGGACTTTTTTGTGAGGAAAAAGTACACGTAAATGATGGTAATATTAGATGTATTAAATAGTTACTGAGTTCCAGATTGAAGGAGCAGTGCTGCTTTAACGCAGAAAATCGTGCCGGTTCAATTTTTCGGACATATATATCTTAACACGAAAATGACAACTACATTCATTCTAATGACTGGTAACGATACAAGTAATCATTTATCTTGAAATGATATAAACAACATCAGAATGCTTTCCTTCTCCATCTACAGGAATCTAAATCTTTCTATTGTTCGTAACTTGCTCTTATTGCAATATGACTTTCGGTCAAGAATCTTTTAAAGTGTCGATATTTTCTTCGTTGTTTTTCAACCCACTTAAAAAAAGAATACCAAAAACCTGTTTTAGTCCTCGTCTTTCAAATGAGATTTATTCATCAAACCTCATATAAAGCCGAATGTTATAATGATTATAACTCCTCAGAATTTATCTAATATAACTGATAACGCCGTCTAATTCAATCATTTCCCCAAACTCTGCTTTTGAATGAAGGAAGTTTTGTCTATTAAATTGGTATAAGGGGATGAGGTGATAAATGTTTTACTAAAACTGAAATTCCATTTCTGCGTGATTTATCCCCGACATCACCTAAAATTCTAGATGCAAAATTCACACAGAATGCGCAGTTAATCGTGTATCCTCGAACCGATTTTCTCAGGAATCGGTGACAAGATAACGGAGCCCTTCTGTAAACAAATATATATGAAAGACGTTTAACGCAGTGTAGCCACAGAAGTGGAAATTTTCCAACGGAAATGATGAAGATAACATCATTTCTTATGAACAATTAATCTGTATCTTTCATTATTTGTAGTTCTTAGTGTGTCTGACAGTTGTCAACATTTACCACGGTAATACTGTTCTTACGAGTCAGTCATTGAATATTGATTCGATGTAAACATAAACAAATACATTAATACATTATACTTGATTTCAGGACGTTAGTGAGTAGAAGTGATATAATACACATCCGTAAATTTTTCTCTTCATGTTATATTTTCTGTAGCAGACTCATGGCACCGGTGTTACTAAAAACGACTCATGGCACCGGTGTTACTAAAAACGACTCATGGCACCGGTGTTACTAAAAACGACTCATGGCACCGGTGTTACTAAAAACGACTCATGGCACCGGTGTTACTAAAAACGACTCATGGTACCGGTGTTACTTAAAACGACTCATGGCACCGGTGTTACTAAAAACGACTCCTGGCACCGGTGTTACTAAAAACTAACGTTCACGTGATGTTCGTATTTCATATTTTGAAGAAATGAAATATTGGTCTATTTCATTGTAGGATCTAAGTGTGTTTCAATATTATGGTTGTATAGCAAAAATATTAAATCACAATTCCATCGTAGAAATTACATATAATTGAGATAAATTGTTATGATAGAAGTGAGTGACGAACTTGAAAAAAATCAACTAAACAGTTCCAAGTCGTCTCCTGTTTGATACGATTAGAATGGTCTGTCGGGTTTTTTTAATAAACGAGGTAATAAATAAAGGGATAACATGCACATAAAACGAACAGTCAGATCTACTTTAGCTTTTAATCAATGATCATAAGGCTGCGATACAAGGGAATGTAACCCATTTTAATGTATGACACGTTAATTTGCAACTTTAACAGACAATTGAACAATTCATTGCACATATCCACTTAACCGAAGATCATAACATTCCGCTTTTTATATCATTGCTTTTAAAACATCCGTTGGACTTTCGTGGCTTTGCGTCTTATTTGCACCACGTGTGTCTGTAAAGTGGAACAATGAATGTATACGAGTTTGTATACGTCATAATATGGTACATACACCAGGCTAAACATAGGAACAATTAGGACTGGTTCGAATAGAACCAATATCTGAGCATTTGGTGAAGCATTTGTCGTTCTACATGAAAAAGCACAATATCAACACTGAATCACTTACCTAGGTTCGGGGGTACTGGATCACAAAGAACTATATTTCCAGTCTCTCCAGTACTGTGTGTTATGGTTCCAGCGTTCACGTTGATATCACTATTGTATCCAGTAATGTTCGAAGAGTTATTGATATTATTTTCCCGGTTTAATTTAGTAATGATGGTTTCTATCTTACGACGAAACACTTCCATCTTGGCTATGTTTTTGTATTTTCTAAAGTTATGGTTTCCTATCATTTCACGGTACATTTTCTTTCTTTGGATGAGCTGCTCCTTTTTAGAAACATGATATCCTCTCTGGTCATGTCGATGGACCACGAGAATTTGACATAATGTAAGAATGACGATGAGGATGAGCAATGCGAGGAACAGGACGGACGGTAAATCCTTTTTCTGGAACATAACGAAGGTATATATGCACAGGCAGCCATTTGTTGAAGCCTTATTTCGCCTATCATGTTTGGGCGATTTGTACAAATGTATTATGTCCTGTGGACGGAAAAGGAATTAGATGAATTCAGTTTACAGATCATCATATCTGACCAGGTCGGCGTGCTTCTATACAGAACACATGTAGGCAGATACTTGCTGTGACACAGCTTCTTCTCTGCTCTCTCACTATACCAGTGCTTTATCGAACGTTCTATATTAACTTAGCTGCCGATCCCGTTCTACCAATAACTGTCCAGTACATATGCCGTCGCGAAGCAACGCCGTCATATCGTCTATTCCCTACTAGGCGCATGTTTTCTGGGTTCGTGTTACGGTAGATGATGCGTGTAGACAGGCGAGTTTGATACTTCTGTATCGTGGATTCCACGAAAATAAAGGCATTGAGAGCCAAATTCGTGATCAATTCACTCGTACAATGACACACATATATACGAATTATTCATGGACTGTAGTAATGTGGAAGTTCTATTATCATTAAGTACTTTCTAAATTAATAGAGAAACGTAAAAATACAATCACAAGTTGTTTCTCCCAATTCGTTTGCTAGGAACTGGCAGATCAGTTCTAACCTACAGTTCGCGATCGGCTAATTAACAAACGAATTTCGACCTTTTGAAAATAATTGTTTTCGATATGTCAGCTTTGTTCTAGTGCTGTCTGAAAAAACAATCATCTGGAAGTATTTTTTGGTGTCAACACATATCATCTTTTATAGCTCTTGTTCAGTTTGAGTTTTGTTTCAACGACGATTTCTCATTAAATATAAACTTCCTTTCTTAACACTTGTGCAATCATGAGGTATCGATGATAACACTTGTGCATTCATGAGGTATCGAGGATAACTGTTTGTGTAACTTTACGTTTAAATCACTTAAAATGATTAAGCAAACGATATGTAGGAAATTAACGTATTTAAAAATCATTTTTTGTGATTTTCACTTTTCTACAAGAATGAGTATGGTGCAATCGCTGGTGAGGACAGGAAGGGCACATCTGTGTTTGTTTACAAAATAGTTGCCAGTAGTTGGCTATATGTTTAAGAAATCGGGTGATTGAAGTTCATATAATTGTCTAAAAGTGAAACAAATCGTACCCGCGTTTACACTACAATACAAAATAGATAACGATACTTTTGTTACAACTGCACAAAATGAAGAGAGAGGTGATATAAAAGAAATGTTTTAAAGACAAATTTTACGTCTGTCAGTATATACCAGATTCTTGTCGATGATGGTGACAAGTTCTTTAAAGATATAAACAACATGTAACACATTTACTTAGTTATACATATGAAGGCTAAACAGTAGATCGAATGTTATACTATTCATTCTTTTTGTATGTCGTCTGCCTGAAGGGGTTCTTTCGGAGAAACAGGTGCGTGTAAATAATTCATTTTATACCAATTCAAGTAATACGATAAATTACCCGTTTGATTTGTTGTTGAAATGCATTACTGTAATCGTAAGTGCAAAACATATAGATGTTTAAAAACAAATTCCTGACGATTTCTTGTGTTGAAAAGTATGTGTCCATCTGAAAATGTCTCGACAAAGTAACACCAACTAAAAATGAGTCAGTCGTGGCACCTTTGACATTTGTTCCCACCAAATATATCACTGTGGAAACCTAGAAGTAACCATCAACTGTACTTATTATAGTAGTTGTTCTAGGTTTATAGAATCACTCGTGTCGCGTAGTTGAATTCCTAGTTGTACTCTGAAGTGGTGACATTATCATTTATATACACAATAATGTACACTAATACACACAAATACACGAGATGTAATGCACTGATACACAAAATATCACGAGATGTAATGCACTAATACACACAATAACACGAGATTTACTCTGAAGTGTGACATTATAATAAATATACACAATAACACGAGATTTAATGCACTTATACACATAATAACACGAGATGCAATGCACTAATATACACAATAACACGAGATGTACTCTGAAATGTGACATTGAAATAAATACACACAATAACACGAGATGTAATGCACTTATACACACAATAACACGAGATGTAATGCACTTATACACACAATAACACGAGATGTAATGCACTTATACACACAATAACAAGAGATATAATGTAATAATATACCCATTAACACGAGATGTAATTCACTAATATACACAATAACACGAGATGTAATTCACTAATATACACAATAACACGAGATGTAATGCACTAATACAAACAATATCACGAGGTGTAATGCACTATTACACACAATAACACGAGATGTAATTCACTTATACACACAATAACACGAGATCTAATGCAGTAATACACACAATAACACGAGATTTAATTTACTAATACACATAATAAGTCGAAATGGAATGCACTAATACACACAATTACACGAGATGTAATGCACTAATACACACAATAAAACGAGATGTAATGCACTTATACACACAATAACACGAGATGTAATGCACAAATTCACACAATAGCAGGAGATGTAATGCACTGATACATGATAAATTCTCTGAAGTGTGACATAATAATTTGTATATACAATAACACGAGATGTAATGCACTAATACACACAATAATACGAGATGTAATGCACTAATATACACAATAACATGAGATGTAATGCACTATTACATACAATAACACGAGATATAATGCACTATTGCACACAGTAAGGCAATATATAATGCACTAATACACAATAACACGAGATGTAATGCACTTATACACACAATAACACGAGATGGAATGCACTTATACACACAATAACACGAGATGTAATGCCCTGATACACACAATAACACGAGATGCAATGCACTAATACACGCAATGAAATGTGACATTGAAATAAATACACACAATAACACGAGATGTAATGCAATTATACACACAATAACACGAGATGTAATGCACTTATACACACAATAACACGAGATGTAATGCACTTATACACACAATAACACGAGATGTAATGCACTAATACACACAATACCACGAGATGTAATGTAATACACACATTAACACGAGATGTAATTCACTAATACACACAATAACACGAGATGTAATTCACTAATACACACAATAACACGAGATGTAATGCACTAATACACACAATATCACGAGATGTAATGTACTCATACATACAATAACACGAGAAGTACTCTGAAGTGTAACATTATAATAAATATACACAATAACACGAGATGTAATGCACTGATAACACGAGATGTAATGCACTGATACACACAATAACAAGAGATGTAATTCACTATTACATACAATAACACGAGATGTAATGCACTAATACACACTAACAGGAGATGTAATGTACTAATACATAAAATAAAACGAGATGTAATGCACTTATACACACAATAACACGAGATGTAATGCAATTATACACTCAATAACACGAGATGTAATGCACAAATACACACAATAACACGAGATGTAATGCAATTATACACTCAATAACACGAGATGTAATGCACAAATACACACAATAACACGAGATGTAATGCACTTAATACACACACACAATGTACGAGATGTAATTCACTTATACACACAATAACACGAGATGTAATGCACTTATACACACAATAACACGAGATGTAATGCACTTATACACACAAATACACGAGATGTAATGCACTAATACACACAATAACACGAGATGTAATGCACTGATACACACAATAACACGAGATGTAATGCACTAATACACACAATAACACGAGATGTAATGCACTTATACACACAAATACACGAGATGTAATGCACTAATACACACAATAACATGAGTTTTTATGCACTATTACATACAATAACACGAGATGTAATGCACTGAAGTGGTGACATTATAATTTCTGTACACAATAACACGAGATGTAACGCACTAATACACACAATAACACGAGATGAATGTAATTTTTTTTATGCACTATTACATACAATAACACGAGATGTAATGCACTATTGCACACAGTAAGGCAAGATATAATGCACTAATACACAATAACACGAGATGTAATGCACTTATACACACAATAACACGAGATGCAATGCACTAATACACACAATAACACGAGATGTAATGCACTGAAGTGTGACATATAATAAATATACACAAATAACACGAGATGTAATGCACTTATACACACAATAACACGAGATGTAATGCACTAATACACACAATAACACGAGATGTAATGCACTAATACACGCAATAACAAGAGATGTAAACTATTACATACAATAACACGAGATGGAATGCACTAATACACACAATAACACGAGATGTAATGCACTGATACACACAATAACACGAGATGCAATGCACTAATACACACAATAACACGAGATGTAATGCACTAATACACACAATAACACGAGATGTAATGCACTAATACACACATTAACACGAGATGTAATGCACAAATACACACAATAACACGAGATGTAATGCAATGCTACACATAATAACACGAGATGTAATGCACTAATACACACAATAACACGAGATGTAATGCACTTTTGCACACAGTAACGCGAGATGTAATGCACTTATACATGCAATAACAGGAAATGTAAACTATTACATACAATAACACGAGATGTAATGCACTAATACACACAATAACACGAGATGTAATGCACTTATACATACAATAACACGAGATGTAATGCACTAATACACACAATAACATGATTTTTTATGCACTATTACATACAATAACACGAGATGAACTCTGAAGTGGTGACATTATAATTTCTGTACACAATAACACGAGATGTAACGCACTAATACACACAATAACACGAGATGTAATGCACTTATACACACAATAACAGGAGATGTAATGCACTTATACACATAGGAACACGAGATGTAATGCACTAATACACAGGAAATATACTGCACTATTACATACAATAACACGAGATG